TTCATGGTATTGACTTAGATCCTACATTATCAAATGTGCAACCAATCTAGATCCCGTATCATCGGACAAGTGTTTTACGATGTTTTATGCGCAACTCTGGTCTTGAAGTTTGCATCAAATATACAAAAAGCAACAAGGGGGAAAGCATTACGGAGCGGAATGGCGAATCAGACAGATGCTTTACTGAAGGAGCATGGACGTGTTCTGCCTCTGATATCTTTCATTTGCTTTTGTGGCCGGAGACGAGCGAATGGGATTTTGAAGCTCTTACAAGCCTGCCATCCAGGACTCCAGAATGAGATAAAAGAAATCAGGGTCAACGGAAAAATAGTGAAATATGCATCACTATCCACCCTCAGCAAATTTATTGATTGGCTTCTCCCGGAACCCCTTGCTAGTCATGCTCAGAAACATCGGTCAAGAAGCAATGCCTACCTGTTGAGAATTACCGAGGCGGATTCTTGTAAGAAATACATTCGGAGTCCAGGTAAAAAGGAAGAAAGGCTTATTGAGCAGGAATCGCTTTCAGAAAGGCAGAAGTCAAGAAGAACTGTGACATCTATTGCACAAAAAGATGGTGTTCTGGGGTTGGATAGCATTGGAGTGACTGAAGCTCTTGCGATCGTGGACAATACTATCGAAACTTTGATTGAGGAAGATCCGTTGCCACCCGTTCACATTCCAGAAGCAGCTTTCAAAGGCACGGCGCACAGAGTAGGTGGTCCAAAACAAAGTGGTTGGCGAGGGGGCAGAGGGTACAGGCGTCTAAGATGGAGCTTTAGAGGCATACCGTTTTTCAGCAGCTTTTGTAAATAGTCTAGGCTTTGTATAGCATCAACCACCAGCACCAGATAAAACCTGTACCCTGATTCGATTATCTCCTTTGATTGGGAAGATTAGAATTCACCATGCAATGATGGACACATACTCGACTATAACATGTCTTGGATTCTGCCATGCTCAAAGGACCTGAACGCCTGGCTCTCTATGTGCCCTTCTAGTATGGCTTTACTAAGTTGGATTCATGTGTGCCAAGGTTGCTGTGAAGTTATCATGCATGAGTTTCTCCGACCTTGCAATGGTTCCTGGAAGGCCCAAAACCTGTAGCTTTTTTGTGCATTGCCTGTTCGAGAAACTCTTCAAGAATGGACATGCTTATAACAAGAACATAATGCCACGTTTCTCGAAAAACCTTTGGGTATATGCGTGTCATACGGCCCTGAATTTACGGAATCTGAGTACGATGCTACAAGTAGCTCCCTTCGCGCCCCATTACTACTCTCTCCACCGGCCGCACTTCAGGCGTGGGTATCACGACAGCCGCGGACCTCCTGGCCTCAGCCTGGGGCAAACAAGCATGCCGCAAACTTCATTTGGTCGACCAGTGCATTTTATGATTGTCAGGTCTGCTCAATACAAAGAAAGCATGTGATCCGCGTAAATAAATCCAATTTTTGATGCTTACTTAGTAAAATGCAATCCGTGAGCTTTTCTTCGCTTGTGCTTGTGCTTCTCTCCATTACGCCTCCTCTTGTCTTGTCTGATCGTTACTCGGATGCTCTCTCCAAAGGCCTCCTCTTCTTCGAGGCTCAACGGAGTGGTAAGCTACCGGCAGATAACAGGATCCCCTGGCGTGGTGACTCCTGCATGTCTGACGGCTCGGATGTGGGCCTCGATCTGTCAAGAGCCTACTTTGATTCGGGCGACCACGTGGTCTTTGGCCTACCACTGTCTTTCACGTTAAGCATGATGGCCTTTGGCTTGGTCGAGTATGGGGACCTTTATTGGACCGAGCAGGACCGGGCAGTTGCGGCCCTCAAGTGGGGCACAGATTGGCTTCTGAGAGCACACCCCTCCGAGAACGAGCTCTACGTTCAGGTTGGTGATGGGGAGAAAGATCATGCTTGCTGGATGAGACCCGAGGACCTCGACATGCAGAGGCCGAGCTTCAAGGTAGATTCGAGCAAGCCAGGCTCTAAAGTGGCGGCAGAGGCAGCAGCTGCGCTTGCTGCAGCATCGATCGTGTTCAGGGAGCGGGATTCTGCTTACCATGATGTCCTCATCTTTCATGCGACCCAGCTCTTTCATTTTGCCGATCAATACCGGGGGAGTTATAGCGACTCTGTCCCGGCTGCAGCAGCATTTTACAAATCGTACTCGGGGTATGGTGATGAGCTGCTGTGGGCTGCTGCGTGGCTTCACAGGGCCACGTCGGACCCAACCTATATTGCCTACATGACCGGGCCCAATTCGAACGACGGCCCCTTGAATTGGAAGGGAACGGCGTCCGAGATCTCTTGGGACGACAAGAGGGCGGCCGCGCAGCTCTTAGCGGCTCGGCTCGTCCTCCTCGGTCAGCAGCCTTCAGGGACGGCTCTAGATCATTACAAGAAGGCCCTCGACGGCTTTGTGTGCTCGTACGTGACAGGGAATACACCAAAGACTGCTGCGAGGCTGCCATGGATCCGGGAGTGGCTGCCATTACAGTACGTGACGACCAGCGCCTTCGTCATAGCGGTTTACGGTGATGTTTTGCAGCAAGCAAATGCGTCACTGACGTGCTCGGGCAGCACGTACACGAGCGACATGCTGTTGGCGTACAGCAAGAAGCAGGCGGACTACATTCTTGGCGCGAATCCGCGGGGCATGTCATATATGGTCGGCTTGGGGGAGTCATTCCCTCAAAGGGTGCACCATCGTGCAGCATCAATACCCAGCGACGGGGTTCACTACAAGTGCGGCGAAGGCTTCAAGTTCTTCCAGGCGTCGAATCCCAACCCACACGTGCTGGAGGGCGCGATCGTGGGCGGCCCCGACCAGGCCGACAACTTTCAAGACGCGAGGACAAACTTTAAGCAGTCTGAGGCTAGCACATACACTAATGCTCCATTCTTGGGGCTTGTGGCCCGTCTGAGCAGCTCGAGAGCTCTGCCTTTGGCAACTCCAGTGCCTACTTCAGCGGGGCAACCGGCCCCGGCAGCTACTCCAGCTGCCACAACCCCTGATGTGGCACCGGGACCTGTCGCTTGTGATTGTGACTGTGAGGGATTTTAGTTGGGTCATCACTTGGAAGGAGTCAACCGTTGTGTTGAGAATACCTCCAAATGAAGCCGGTCTTCTTCCCCCCGGTCTCTGCCGAACTTCGTATGAGGCTGCGTGCAAATCCACTTTCCTGTACAGCCTGTGCAACGGAGCCATATGTCTTGAGAAGGCGCCCTTCAAGATCGTACTGATGGACTATTCTGTTGCAACTTCGGTTCGTTGCCTGCTCCTCTTTAGTGGCCCAGCGCAGGTTGGTGAGAAGGTTGTCCTGGCAGTTACCGTTGATGTGATCCACAGTGTGCTCCGGACTTGGGCGGGGGCCAAGAAATGTGAAGGCCATGATCACGTAAACAAAACACTCTCTCTCCCTTGCTCCGATTTGGATTTGGATGTGGACCTTGTGCCGGCCATTTTGAATATACCCGGTCGTACACCTTCCATTCCGTAGTTGAACGCGGCCCATGTTGCTGACCTTCACACCCTTGATATGCTGCCCGTCATAGGTAGCATCCTTCCATACTTCACCAGGCTGGTCCGCCTGAGCGGCCAGGTGCTCCGGGCACTGGCGGAAAATGTAGCCCTTCAGTCCTTTGGTTGAGCCTCGCCGAATTTGCTCGCCAATTGCTTGATCGTGAAGTGCCAAGGCCTTTGCAGCCTCCTTGATTGATCCATAACGTGTCTCTTTACTGGTTGCCACATGATGTACAACAACCGGGAAGCCTTGTGAAATTCCCGCCTTCTTGGCTGCTCCAGGGTTGTCTATCCGGGTCTTGCGATTATGTTCTTTCCCGGGAAGCTCCTGCAAATTCTCCCAGCTATCGTCTTGAGGTGGACGTTGGGACCCGTCCGTAGGTCTCGGTGGAGCAACGATGTGATCAATGTCCATTCCGAGCCCGATCGCACGCCCCAAGGCGATCTCGGAATTCAAGCGGTGTTTCCGAATGTTCTTTCCCTCAATCTTCAGCACCGTATACCCGTCTTTGCTGCTCCCCTTCTGGAAGCAGCCAAGTTGGGTGTTCCATACTCGGCCGTCAGGGAGTCCAAAGATGTGCTTGTACTTGAAGCCTGTGCTGCTTCCAGCCCTCAAGATCCGCTGGGGGTGCATTTCGTTCCGAGTGGATCAGCTGATGACGAGTAAAGCTTTGTTCGAAGGTGAATGATCGCAGACAGCCCGGGATATCACAGACAAACTCCTCCCGGCTGTCGACCAGCTGGTGCTTACGCTTGTCGCCAACTGTACTGGTCACGGCGGCCATCTCACAAAGATATGCTTTGATGACACTCTCGTTAGCCCTAAGTACACGTACTTCAAAGGTGCCGGTCAGGTTTGGTTGCAGCTTTGAAGCAAAGATTTCCTGTCGTGAGTGGTAGAGATGCATGGAACCGCTGCCCACAATCTGTGGCCTGCTCATGGTATTGGCTCTGTTGTACATTCTGACTGCAGGCAGAGCTCGTGCAGAATACTTTGCGAGTAGACTGCTTCCCCCTC